TTGTCCTGTTTGTATTTGCAGATGGAGCTAATGTTTGGGTGGGCAAGGCCAGGCCAGAGCAGGCAGGAGGAGCTGGCACCAGGTCAGGGTCCTCCACTGGGGCCAGGGGTGAAGAGGGAGGAGCAGCCACAGTCCAGCTAAGCGGCCCTATTTCCACTGCAGGCGTCCAGGCATCCTTTTCCTGTCTGCTCTGTGCTCTCCTGGACTTCTGTGTGTCAACCCTTAACTTTCTCTTTTAAGTTCTCTCTCTCTCCCTCTCTCTCTCTCTCTCTCTCTCTCTCTCTCTCTCTCTCTCTCTCTCTCTCTCTCTCCTTCTGCCCCTCTATCCTTACAACACACCCCTGACAGCAAAGTTCTGCACTGACCCAGGCCCAAAAGACTTCTTGTTGTGGATAAGAAAATATTTTCATTAGAAAATGAACCTGAGTAATCCCTTTCAGATGCCATTTTCAAGAAAAGAGGAAATCTGACTTGTTGGGTAATGAGAGTGACTGCCATTCGGAACACCGTCTCCCCTGACTTGCAGGGGAGAGCATGGTCTCTGGAGAGGTCACCTCAAGACCTAAGAATCACTAGGTCTGTTCTTGGTACAGCCTTGTTACGACCTGTGCTCAGTGTTTGCTAACTCAGTGTAACAAAGCCATTGCCCTTGAGAAGACTAGGAAAGACAGGCAGAGTGAGGAGGTCATCGCTGGACAGCTGCTGGCTGCCAGGCCCTCACCCGCCCCACGCCTGTGAGGGCACAGCTAACATAGATCACATCCTCCCTTTATAAAGAGATTGAAAAGACTTTTTGCAGAACACAAACCAGTTCTCTCAGAACCTGCTTATGGGATTGAGAGAACGCCACGTTCTTCGGGACCTCATGCTCAACCCCACACCACATCTTCAATGGAAGCGTTGCCTTTCACCAGCTGGCAGATGAGGAACTGACACTGGGAGTCGGGGGGCTGGGGCTGGGGCTGGGGCTGGGGGGCGCATGATTCTGGTGACGCAGGGCCCGGTTTTGGATTTCACTCAGCCTCACTGTCCCCTGAGGCAGCTCCAGGTAAAGACTGTTGATTTGGGAAAGGTGGTCAGGGGTGCGTAGTGCTCATTCCACGGGGTTTGGTTCACTAAAGAAGTGAGGGCACCGAGCAGAACGACCTCTGCAGAGGTCGGCCAGCTTCCTGCTGAAGTGGCAGAACGTTTCCATCTTTGGGCTGCTTTGTTTACTGGGGTCTGTGTGCCCCTGCCAGCACAGCTGTGACTTTGCCCCACCCCGCCCCCCAGGTCCCATCCTGTGTGTGACCTAGATCTCAGCTGCAGGAATGGAGAACGTAACCTCTTTGAATGAGCTCTTGTATGCCTTTGACCAGGGGTCCTCAAACTTTTTAAACAGGGGGCCAGTTCACTGTCCCTCAGACCGTTGGAGGGCCAGACTATAGTTTAAAAAAAAAAAAAAACCAAAAAAAAAACTATGAACAAATTCCTATGCACACTGCACATATCTTATTTTGAAGTAAAAAAACAAAACGGGCCAAAACCGGTTTGGCTCAGTGGATAGAGCGTCAGCCTGCGGACTGAGAGGTCCCTGGTTCGATTCCGGTCAAGGGCATGTACCTGGGTTGCGGGCACATCCCCAGTAGGAGATGTGCAGGAGGCAGCTGATCGATGTTTCTCTCTCATCGATGTTTCTAACTATCTCTCTCCCTTTCTCTCTGTAAAAAATCAATAAAATATATTAAAAAAAAAAAAACCAAAAAAAACCCAAAACGGGAACAAATACAGTATTTGTATTTGCATGTGGCCCGCGGGCCGTAGTTTGAGGACCTCTGCCTTTGACCAACATGTTACCCAGATGGGGCAGGGTATCTGGATGGTGCCCCCAACCCAGCCCTTTGACCTTAGATCTGTGGATGCAGCCTCACCAGCCCATCATCTCCCCCAGGGCATCTTGATTCCCCACCCACAGGGTGTAGGGTGGGGGTGGGGGCAGCTGGTGTCAAATGACAGGTTCTGTGCCCAGTCCTGCTTGGTTACTTGCTGACCTTGGACCTTGGGCTCTCTATACTTTAACTTCTAACCAGTGTCACACGCTTGTCATGGGAAGGAATTCAGGTGACCCATGTAAAGCCCTTAGCGCAGCGCCTGTTAATCACCGGTCCAGGTGGACTCAGGACTGGGTCTGCGAGGTCTGCGGCATCACTCGGCAAGGAAGATGGAGTCACATCTGAGTGTAGGGGGTTCTGGAGGGCTTTGTCAGATGGAGTCTTAGGGACTTGGCTTTGGCACAGTCTTACCTTGGAGGGGCTTTGTAGGCCCTAAACCATAAACTTGGCTTGAACAAGTGGACTCCTTGCCTGCCCCCTTTGCAGACTGAGGCCCAGGGGTGTTAGTAAGACCCCATCACTTTCCAACAGGCCCAAAGACATCTTGAAGGGCTCCTGGGGTCCCAGGGGCACACTGGACAGGCTACTCTAACTTCAAAGGAGCCAGCTTGACCCCTTCCCAGACCCCTGAGAAATGGAAACGCAGCCGCAGCTGGATGGATGCAGCAGCCAGAAGTGGAGACAGTGCAAGCGGCAGGAGAGGGGCTTCCCAGCCACCGACCTCTGGGTCCTGTGTTTAATCCACAAGACCAGGAGCTGTGATGTCATTCCTGGCCTGGCCTGTAAGTCACCTTTTGGGTGGCCTGGCCACCTGTACCAGGGCCTCTTCCTCCCTGAGGGCGGGGCCCAGGCAGCCCAAGAGCTGAGGCTTAATGAGGAGGATTGGTGCCTGGAGGTGAAAGGATTTCCAGGGGAAGCAGCCCAGGCTGATCATTACTGTGGCCTGAACTCCCAGCCAGGTCCCAGCTGGGTCTTGGTCTCCCTGGGGCTTCCATGGAGCCTTCTCCTGGCAAGGGGACTCAGAATGGAATGTTCTGGGACCAGCAGGTGTGTAACAAATGCTACAAATGCTTGCTCAGTGATGTCAGAGGATAGGCTGGCCCCAGGCCAGATGCAGAGGTGAAGGCTGACTGCTAATCCCAGCTTCCCTTCCTCCTCTTTGTCCCTTCTGCTGCCCTTACCCATCATGAGCCTCTTTCTTTCTCCTCTCTCCTGACCTTGAAACTTTTCCTCAGGAAAGGTGGCAGGGGTGGGGGTGGGGGTGGGCTGTCTAGGGGGTGGGGGTGCATTTACACTATAGTTCAGTGTTTTTCTATTCCCCTTTCTATCATTTCTGCAACCTTGACATGACCTTAGTCTTGGGCTTCTGAAACTGGGATAATGAATCTCTGGGGTTATTGGTGATGTGCCAGGGGTAAACAAAGCTGTAGGATAACCTGGGACACCTTCCTCATCAATTTTATTAGGTGATGAGAAAACAATTATCTCTTGAAATAGTCACAAATATGTTATAGAGTAGAAAAAAGTTGCCTGAATTATAAAGACAAATAAAAAAGTCTTATCTCCATAAACAGCAGATAAATTTATTTCCTCAAGACTCAGAAAAGCATAGCTCCCACATGACCACCCTGGCCACTGACTGTAGAAACATTCTGTGATGGCAAGACAACCCCCTCTGGTCATTGCTAATCTTGTTGGCAGATGATGGGTTCGTAGTGACTGCTGGTACACAAGACTTATATGCCTTTCTGAACATTTACATAATATTTTAAAATTAAGTTTAGACCTTCTATAAGTGTAAACTCATATCATCCATTCTGAACCTAACACAGAGCTTGAAGGGCTGTCACAAGAATGTTCTGCATTTTTGAGCATGTGTTTCCTTAAAGATTTAAAAGTTTTAAGATGTGCAAACATGACTGAGCCAGGTGTAAAACTGAGACATCACAGGGAAAAACTGTTAGTGAACCCTAAGCGGACAGCATAGGCTACAAGGAAAATTACACTACAAGGACCACAAAGATGGATTATGAATATTAAAGCAAAAGAAGGATGCTTGGCAACCAGAAGAGAGAGCCACCCCCAGACAGTTCAAACAGAGCAGGATGTGAAGAGTCAGGAAGCTGCAAGCAAGGCTGTCAGGAGCCTGTCGTGACGGGGGTTCCACAGGGACCCAGGACCTGTCCTCATTCTACACCCACATCTGCTGCAAACACACGGTGCACCTTTGAAAGGAGAAAGTTCCCTAGTGTTTCAAAGTCAAAGCCACAGAGACTGACTTTTGACAGAATCTGCTTTTATTTCCCAAAGCTTCTGTTTACTCTCAGATGACTATGTATTGCTCTCAAGATGTCCAATATTAAAATTAGTAGTGGATACTGGAAGAATAAGATTAATTGCATTTATGGTGAGATAAGTAAATAAAAACACACTAAGGTTTTGTTAAGGACTCCCTCTGTTTTCACTTCTGGAGCCCATTCCTGGAACTGGAACAAGGGCAGAATCAACCCCTGCAGGGTGACTGAACCATCCTTGGAAGTACTCCTTTTCCTCCTGAAATTCCCCGCACCCCCCCCCCCCCCCAGCAGCGTCCCCTCAGCACCCCAGCTCCAGGGCTGATGGTGACAATGTTTCTTTGTGATGCCTAAAGGGCTTCACATGGACCACCCAGAGCTTCTGATTCTAGCACACAGCGGCGCCCTGCCTGCCTTCCTCTCCTCTGGCTCTGGCTGTGCTGTCACTCATGTGGTCACAAGTTGGCGAGAACATAGCACGATGGGAAGAAAAGCAAAACAGAGAGCCAGGTACTCGTAGGAGCCCTCTCTGGATTGAGTGCCTGTGTGGATTCTCTGGGCGGCATGCGGGGATAATAATTTTTCTCCCCCTTGTTTATAGAAGAGCCAGACACAGGAAAGGCTAGAAGAAAAATGAAGGAAAACATTGCATATACGGAGAACCTTCTCTGGATGAAGCGTTAATTACTGATGTCCTGTGCCTAGCGCAGACGTAGGCCCTTATCTCTATCGTGAGGAAACGGAGGCTGAGAGATTGAGGAAAGGAGTGGCTCATGTCCATCAAGGGCTTACCACAGGCCAGGCAGTGATAGGTGTTAGCACATTTACTACTCACCAGTCCCATCACAGACGCACGGGGATCTCCATTCTACAGGTGGGAAACCAAGACGGGAGACACCCGGGAAATTTACCCATAGTTCCAAGCTAATCCACATTGGAGCCAGGACTGGAATCTAGAAATGCCGGCTCCGAAGTCCGTGTGTTTCACTGCTGTGCTGCACTGCTCTGCAGATCAGGGAGCCAGCAAACACAGGACTGAGTTCCTGGGTCTGTCTTCTGTTGATGTGATCGTGAACAACAAAGGTCTGAGGCCAAATGGGGCCTCCCTTAGTCTGGAAGGATGCTTCAGCCTGGCTGCATTTAAAAAAAAAAAAAAAAAAAAAAAAAGGCATGATGCAGCTGCCAGCCAGCCATGAGTGCAGCAGACTCCTCAGCTTGGCCTCTGAGGACGGTGTCCCCCCTGTTCTTGGGCATCTGCCACTGACACTGAATCCACACCTGGGCAAGGGTGGTTTTGATCTTTCTCTGCCTGCCACTGGGGCTGGCTCCGGCTCCTGCCTACAGCCTAGGCTGCCATGAGGGCTGGTTGATGAGTTTGGGAAGTCACCCTTGGCCAACACAGGCTTGGTTCTCCTGGGGGGCCACCCCTCTGTCATCACCCCTCCCTGGCCAGATGGGGGCAGGTAGTGTCTCTGTGTGCAGAAGGAGGTGCCGGGTCAGCTTTTCTCCCAGATGGCAGAGCAGGAAGCCCCAGGGACCGAACCCAAAGAAGAATAGATGTGAACTAGACAACAGGGAGGGTGTGAAATGTTAGGGCTGATTTTTGAGAGGGACTGGGGGCGGGAAGGGGGCAGAGGGACACTGGTCCAGTCTGGCTCGGATCCAGATTGCAATTCTGAGCAGAGAAAATTGGGTCCAGTTGAGACCTGAAAGTGCTAGTGCTGGAGAAAAATACTTTCCTGCTCATTCTAAGCAACTAAAATGCACTATTGGTGCAGTAGGATTGCTAGTCGACACCCCAACATTCATTCTCTTTTATTTATTTATTTATTTATTTATTTATTTATTTATTTATTTATTTATTTATTGTTGGCAGTATGGTATTACAGATGACCCTCATCACACCCTTTACCCACCTCCACCCAGCCCTCACCCACCCCACCCCACTCCAGGCCTTCCCCACACTATTGTCTGTGTCCATGGGTTATGCATATTTGTTCTTTGGTTAATCTCTTTCCCTCCCCTACATCCCTCTCTCCTCTGAGATCTATCATTCTGTTCCATGCCTCTGGACCTATTTTGTTTGTCAGTTTATTTTGTTCGTTAGATTCCACATATAAATGAGATCATTTGACATTTGCCTTCCTCTAACTGGCTTATTCACTTGGCATAGTAATCTCCAGGTCCATCCATGCTGTCGAAAAGGGAAAGAGATCCTTCTTTTTCACAGCTGCATAGTATTCCATTGTGTTAATGTACCAGCGCTTTTAAAAAAAAATGACAGCGCTTGTCATTTGTTGATTTATTAATAGTAGCTATTCTGGCAAGTGTGAGGTTATACTTCATTGTTGTTTTAATTTGCATCTTTCTGATGATTACTGATTTGGGGTTGATTTTTTTCATGTTTCCTGGCCATCTGCATGTTCACTTTGGAGAAGTGTCTATTTAGGTCCTTTTTCCATTTTTCAATTGGATTGTTTGTCTTCCTGGTGTTGAGTTGTATGAGTTCTTTGTATATTTTGGAAATTAACCCCTTATCAGATGTGTCATTGGTGAATAAGTTCTTCCACACAGTGGGTTCCCTTTTCATTTTTTTTTTTTTTTTGTGTGGTTTCTTTTGCTGGGCAGAAGTTTTTAATTTTGATATGGTCCCATTTGTTTATTTTTTTCCTGTTTCCCTTGCCCTAGGAGATGTGCCGATGAAAATTCTGCTACGTGAGATTCTGAGATTTTACTGCCTATATTTTCTTCTAGGATTTTTATGGTTTCACAACTTACAGTTAAGTCTTTTATCCATTTTGAATTTATTCTTGTTTATGTTATAAGTTGGTGGACTAATTTCTTGCTTTCTTTTTTTTTTTTTGGATGTACCTGTTCAATTTTTGTATCCTGCAACTTTTCCAAATTCATTTATTAAATCTAGTAGTTTTTTTCATGGAGTCTTTAATGTTTTCTATGTACAATATCATGACCATTTATTGAAGAGACTGTCTTTACTCCATTATATGCTCTTGCCTCCTTTGTAAAAAAATTAATTGAGCATCAGGGCTTGGGTTGGTTTCTGGGTTCTCTGTTCTGTTCCATTGATCTATATGTCTGTTCTTGTGCCAGTACCAGGCTGTTTTGATTACAGTAGCTTTGTAGTATAACTTGATATCTGGTATTGTGATCTCTCCAAATTTGTCCTTCATTCTCCAGGTTGCTGAGGCTACTCAGGGTGTTTTTTGGTTCCATACACATTTTTTGAATATTTGTTCTAGATCTATAAAATATACCGTTGGTATTTTAATAAGGATTGCATTGAATCTGTAGATTGCTTTGGGTAGTATGGACATTTTAATGATGTTAATTCTACCAATCCATGAACATGATATATATTTTCATTTGTATCTTCCTCTATTTCCTTTTATAATGTCATACTAGAGGCCCGTTGTAGGAAGATTCCTGCAAGAATAGAGCTTCCTGCGGCTGGAGCAAAGCAGAGAAGGGAGTGAAACCCACTGAGGCGGGCTTCGCTCCCGCTCCCAACCACTGCGGCTGGGTTTGCCCTCCCGCTCCCAGCCTCTGCGGCTGGGTTTGCCCTCCCGCTCCCAGCCTCTGCGGCTGGGTTTGCCCTCCCGCTCCCAGCCTCTGCGGCTGGGTTTGCCCTCCCGCTCCCAGCCTCTGCGGCTGGGTTTCCCCTCCCGCTCCCAGCCTCTGCGGCTGGGTTTCCCCTCTCACCTCCTGCCTCCCACCTCCGCAGCCTTGGCTCCGTTCTGTCTCTGCCACCTCTACTTAGCTCCCTTCTGTAGCGCTTCACTTCCATGTTGTCTTCAGTATTTTCTCCCAGCCGGTATATGCAAATTAACCGCCATCTTTGTTGGCAGTTAATTTGCATATCGTACTGATTAGCCAATGGGAGGTGTAGCGAAGGCACGGTCAATTACCATGTTTGGCTATTATTAGATTGGATAGTTTTCTGAGTACACGTCTTTTACTTCCTTGGTTAAGTTTATTCCTAAATATCTTTTGTTGTTGTTCCAATGCTAAATGGGTTTATTTTTTTAAGTTTCTCTGAGAGTTTATTATTGGTATATAAAAATGCCATTGATTTCTGGGTATTAATTTGGTTTCCTGTTTCTTTGCCAAATTCATTTGTTAAATCTAGTAGATTTTTGATGAACTCTTTAATGTTTTCTATGTACAATATCATGTCATCTGTTAATAATGGCAGTTTTACTTCCTCCTTTCCAATTTGGATGCCTTTTTTTTCTTCTTCTTTTCTGATCACTGTGGCTAGGACTCCCAGTATTATCTATAGATATACAGGCCTAAGCAACCGTTCTGACCAAATAACTGGAACAACCAGACCACTGGCTGGTAACTATGATGCATACTGACCCAGAACTTGCTGCTGGGCCTGGACAGCCCTGAATCTGGTTCACCCACACTCCGGACCCAGACAGGAGGGAAGAGGGAGCCCGATTCCTTGTGAAATCGGCCATTGGTTAGCTTGCTGCTGGGGCCAACCTTCTGCGGTCCCTGCCCCAGACTAGCTGCCCCCCCCCCCCAATTGGCCCTGATCGCCAGCCAGGCCAAGGGACCCCACGCATGCATGAATTTGTGCATTGGGCCTTTAGTGTTAAATAAAAGTGGTGAAGTGGAAATCCCTGTCTTATTCCTGTTTTTAGTATATATATTTGTATTGATTTAAGAGAGGAAGAGAGAGGGAGAGAGAGATAGAAACATCAATGCTGAGAGAGATCATTAATTGGCTGCCTCGTGCACGCTCCCACTGGGGATCGAGCCTGCAACCCAGGTATGTGCCCTTGACCTGAATCAAACCTGGAACCCTTCAGTCTGCAGGCCTATACTCTATCCACTGAGCCAAACCAGCTAGGGCTTGTTCCTGTTTTTAAGGGAAATGTTTTTAGTTTTTACCCATTGAATATGATATTGCCTGTACGTTTGTCATATATGGCCATTATTATGTTCCCTCTATTCCCACTTTGCTGAGAGTTTTTATAAAAAATGCATGCTGGATTTTGTTGAATGCTTTTTCTGTATCTATTGATATGACCATGTGATTCTTATGCTTCATTTTGTTTATATGATATATCATAGTTATTGATTTGTGAATATTGTACTAGCCTTGCATCCTTGGAATAAATCCCACTTGGTCATGGTGTCTGATCTTTTTAATGTATTGCTAGATCTGATTTGTTAATATTTTGTTGAGGATTTTAGCATCTATGTTCATCAAGATTATTGGCCTATAATTTTCTTACTTTGTAGTGTTTTCTCTCTTCTTGAATTTTTTGAAATAGTTTAATTTTTTGAGGAAACTCCATACTGTTTTCCACTGTGGCTGTACCAGTCTTCCCTCCTCTTGAATTTTTTGAAATAGTTTGAAGAGGATACATGTTAGCTCTTCTTTGAATGTTTGGCAATACTTGCTTGTGAAGCCATCTGGTCCAGGACTTTGGTTTACTAGAAGTTTTTTTTTTTTTTTATTACTGCTTCGATTTCATTAGTTGTTAGCCTATTTAGGTTTTCTGATTCTTCCTGATTAAATTTTGGAAGATTGTATATTTCTCAGAATTTGTCCATTTCACACAGGTTGTCCAAATTATTGGCATATATTTGTTCATAATATTTTCTTATAGTACTTTGTATTTCTGTGATGTCACATGTTACTTTGCCTCTTTCATTTCTGATTTTATTTATTTGGATCCTCTCTCTTTGTTTCTTGATAAGTCTAGTTAAAGGTTCATCATCTTGCCCTGGCTGGCATTGCTCAGTGGTTAGTGCGTTGGCCCATGGACCAAAGGGTCATGAGTAAGATTCTCAGTCAAGAGCTATTACTTGGGTTGCAGGCTCTCTCCCTGGCCCTGGTTGCAGGAGGTAATCACTTGTTGTACTTCTCTCACATTCATTTCTCTCTCTCTCTCTTTCTCACTCTCTTCCTCCTCCCTTCCTTCCACTCTCTGTAAAAATCAATGGGAAAAATATCTTTGAGTGAAGATTTTTAAAAAGGTTCATTAATTTTGTTTATCTTTTCAAAGAACCAGCTCTTGGTTTCATTGATCGTTTGTATTATTATTATTATTATTATTATTATTATTATTATTAAATTTCTATGTCATTTATTTATG